GGGGTTAATTGTACAACAGCGAAGAACGCCTTCTCTGCCAAGACGAGAGAGAGAGAGAGAGATAGAGATAGAGAGAGGAAGAAGGCGGAATAAATAAGCAACGTACTTGTGTCTTATGGCGTCTGATTCCGCCAACAGGCAATAAAACAGAAGGCTCGAGGCGCGAACGAAGACGAGACATCGTCGTTTTCTCTCGAATCCTTCCTCGCGCGAAGCCACGATGCGCGGAAGGAGACCTATTTTTTTTGTCGAGGTAACATGGAACCTGTAGATGAACACACTCGACTTCGGAAGCCAACCTTGCAGCTCTTTAAGCAGTTTTTAACTGTACGTTAATGTGCCACGTGGGCTCTTGAAGCAATTTCCCAGACCGCGCGCGCCGCGCGGCCTTTTTATCCTCTTAACCGAGTACGATAAATAAAAGGAGATTACTGAATAAATAAACAAACAAATAAATAAATAAACAAATAAATATATATATATATATATACACAATTTAAGAACCTATTTAATTATATATTCCTATATACATATACAAGGAACACATGTACAGGTATTTTATTAGGTCCTTGCGATTTTGAAACTCACCCTTTGTTGAGATTAAGAGGGAGTAAAAGAGAGAGAAAAAAAAAGAGCGAAAAGGAGACCAAGATAGAGGTGCTTTTCGTGCATCGACATCCGGAAAGATATTTTTCACTGCGTCGGATTGGTGTAACGAGAACGGTAAAATGTCCACGATGAGTGTCGTCTCGAACTCTTCCGTCGAGGTGGACTCGGATTCCTCGAACGACGTGTCGAGCAAGGACGACAGCAATGCCGAAAGAAAGTTTATTCTACGAAACGAGCTGTACAACAGTCTGCTGGCAAGCGCGTTAGGCAAAACTGTGCTCAACAGGCATCTCAATTTCAAAGAGCAGGGGATTAACTTCAATCTGGCGAATCTGAAGGACAACTTAAACGCGCTCGGTGCACTGAAGGAGTTAAAGGACCTGAAGGGCTTGACCGTCAGCAGCGTGCCCGCCTTTCCGAGAAACTTAGCTCTTCATCGAGAAGATCACGATGAGGTTAGACTCGAGTCGCAAATTTAATCATTCTTGCAAATTGCCATCTAATAACAATGGATGATATTATTGCACACGCCGTGCCAATTATCTCTTTCACATTTTTCTTCACGTGTGACAAAGAGGGCCGCAATTTCTCAGGAATTTTCTCGTATAATTTAATAATTTATATTTTCTTGTGCTTGTGTGTGTTTTTTTTTTTTTTTTTTTATTATATGCAATTCTAAATCTGCTAGAAAGAAACGTAATTCTACATGCATACATCATTTGCGCTAAAGTAAACACAAATTAAAGATTTTCTTCAAATATTTTTGTAAGTAACTGTTTGTTTATCGAATGTCACATGGATATTACTTATAGTATATTAGAGGTTCATAAAGCGGAAACGACGTGGAAAAGCGCCAAGTGTGGGAGGACGTAAACGATATCGCCAATCGTGAGGATAGTTAGCGAAGAGTTAAAGGTCGGTTGACAGGTCGACGAACAGTTTACGAGATAAAGTATGTCTCAACGTGACTGCCTGTCCGTTGTTAATATTATAAGTTGTCAGTTAAAAAGTTAGAGCATGGTTAAGCGGCAACGAGAGTTTTTTCGCGTAACAAGAGCATAAAACGCGGGGCCGTGCCAAGATTTCGTTTGTACGGATAACGTTCTGTTTTCTTGATTCTCTTCAAATGTTCTCAGTGTACTTTATTTCAGAATCATGATGTTTTATTACAGGATTATTTATCTTTTTGTTCATTTTTTCATATATCTTTTCCATGCGATTGTAATACTAGGAAAAAAAAACAGTAATTATAAAATTACAAAAGTAATTAATTTTACACGTCAGATGAATTACTAAAATAAGTAAAAGTGACTGTGTGAAATTTTAAAATAATTCACGAATTTATTTAAAACTTAATTATAACTGTATATTTAATTAACATTAATATTTGTTACTTAATTTATCGTTTCACCGTGTCTATATGCAAGCATATCGCTTCTTGTAAGCGATAGTTCAAATGTTACTTTAAAACAAGAATATTAATTTAATTAACATTTTTTTAATTGACCTTGATTGATGTTTTTTAAATTTACTTTTGTCCTAATTTATTAATTTACTGCAGCAGTAAAACGCGCCGGCGGTGATTTCCTGTTGCTCTCTTTTATTTTTACCCGAATTGCAACCACGAAAGAACGTTTTCTTGGCACAAGGTTTTAGCTCGTTTTAGACTCAACGTCTACAACAATCCCTGACCTAAATATACATATACCGGCAGATTTTTCTTGTTTCAATTATACAAAAAACTTATTGCTTTCAAGAGAAATGCTTTTTTGAAAACGCATATATTTAATTGGCCACATACATATATTTATGATATATATAGAATTTTTATCGCGAATTATATTTTTGTACCGCACAATAATTTAATAATATCTTTACTTGATATTATAAAAAATGTTTAATTTAATTAATGTTGTAACATGGAAAAGATAGTCAAACTAAAATATTTTCAATTTACAATCTAAAGATTGATCGATAAATGAAATCTGTATACGAACGCATCTATTCGAATATCACTTTGTAATAACTAATTAACAAGTAACCACTTCTGGATTTTATTATATTTGGAGCTATTGAGCCTAAAGAGAAAAAATGTCACGGACGTCGTACTGTGTGCTTTGAGACCATGCAATTAAGTTAGTCGCAATAATGAAATGCCTCATCCCCCTTTGAGGCTCCCTTAAGAAATAACACCCTTGGTAAGCTCTAGGGGATAGTATTCGAGAGACTAATAATCATGCTTGCGATTCGTAACACGTTTTTCTCACGATGTACCGCTGCGTGAACAATTAACAATTTCAATCTAAAGTCCCCTTAATGAATGATTTACCGCGATTAATTAGCGGTGTCGGGAAGGGGCGAAATTTCATTTCGTACGAAAAAGAAATCAATACAATCCGATTATTTTCAAGTCATTCGAAAGATCTGATATGCACATTCTGTTGTAGTTTTTTTATATATATATATATAACGGAAGAACAAAACAGAAACATAAAAAAAAGTCACAATAATCATAAAAGAGAGAAAATACTTATTTTACTTCTCAAAAAACTCGGAAAAAGTAATTGTTCTGCTCTAGAATCTCACTTTGAAATTGATTTTTTAAAGCGTTAATTAAAAAAAGTTTTTTAATCAGTTAGAAAACCAGTGTTTCTATTCAAGAAAAAGATTACACGCTATTGAAATTTTTGGGAAAAGGTGCTAATGGTATTATTGAATTATAACGCAATTTTGTTCGATGAAATATGAAATTTTCCGTTAGAACGGAAACGGATAATGTGCCGATATCGCGAGTACAAAAGCGAATCACGAGAGCATCCTGTAAAGATGATTCCAGTTGCATCTACTTTTATAACAGTCGCCGTGCTCATCACTCCTCTCTTACATTCGACGACATATCGATTGGCTATCGCCTGCGCGACGTGCATTTTCTCTTCTTTGTCTGGGGCTATGAATTTCTTACGACGTCTCCCGCGGTCGATAATGCCGCGGATCGGTATAATTATACTCGAATTTGCAAATGTGTGTGCATGCTGACCGCTATACGCATATAGAATAATCTATATGTTGTGACTATCAGATTTTCGTACGACATATTTGTGAGGGAGCTTGAAAAGTCTCAAGTGCGAAAATACTTTCAGTTCTCCCAGCAAATATTAAATAATAAAAAATTAACGCTAGGATTATAAGAACATATTTTATTATGAAATAAGAAATATAAATTCTATCATTTGTTATTTGGCGATATTTAATTTAATATGGCGAAATTCAATATGACGGAACGATATTAGAAGCGAACTTTGCCATGAAAAGCCATGTAATGAGTTTAGGTATTTTCACGTCAAACATTTTCTGGCTCTGTGCCAGCCAATTCATCGATCAATTTATTAATGGGCTAACTCTTCTCGCGCACACTCAATCATGAATACCTAATGCTGCCGCCTCGCCGGTCAGACAAGAATGAACGAGTTAAATAATCACCGTGATTAATGCAAGGAAGATTTCTCTGGTCCAAAATCTATCGAGTCAAAGATATCGACTTTTGTAATTAATTATATCAATTAATATTGTCAATTTTAATGTTTCTCCAACTTCCTTTTGGAGTTAATCTTTTTTCAATACTTCTCAAATATATATATATATATATAATTTATATATCAAATTATTTACGTAATTTAATATATCGCTTATTTTTGTTATATTATACACACGAATATGAATATATATATAGAAAAATCAATTGATACAATTGTGAAATGAGGTGTCTTTTTATATTGTTGGTCTCGTCTTGTGTCATCTTCAATAACTTTTTCAAAAAAACGTGGTTAAAATTGTCAGGAAGGACGATGTCAACGCCTACGGAACGTATTAATTTCTCGCATATTAACGATGAAACTTTTCGAGATTTGATTAAAATCAAAGATCATATCGAAGCGAACATTTGTTGGATATGACGGATTGAAACACGCTTTAACTGCTTATAAATTCTCGACTCTTATTGAAGAACTAACATTAATTTTCGGTATTATGTGGAATTTTTGTATGATTTTGTATTTTTATTTAATTACTGTAATATAATACTGTGTGAGGAAGACCGCGTGCGTTTATTTTATAATGATTGTAATTTTCGCTTAAGTTCGAGTATAGAACGTTTGTAGCTTTCACATAATGTTTTATGTTTAATTTATACATGGAATAAATTTTATTTGACAGAACTGTCAAATAAAATTTATTTATTTATATATATATATTCGTGTGTATAACATAAACAATAATAAGCGATATACTAAATAAAAGAGGGCATTTTTCAAGACGAAAAATGTAATTTTGTAGAAAATAAACTCGAATGTGAGAGAAAAATAAATACACGTTCAATGAATTTTTCTTTACAGAAGAACTCGTTCGCATGGTCGGAGGGTGGCGAAGAAGGTGGTGGTGGTGGCGGCGGAGGCGGCGGAGGAACGGGTGGGACCGGAACAGGTGGCACGGGCCCAGCGACCACCGGTAGTGGCGGACTGGCCCACTGGGTTAGTGTCATGGCGGAGCACATTCACAATCCGCACTCGGCCACGGGCGTCGGTGTTCACCATCAACAACAATCCCCACCTCAACCGCCTTATCCGTGGAACAATGGCCTTTCCAGTGACGTGAGTACGCTTTTATCGCAATTATTCATACTACTGGCGTTTCCGCGTGTGTTGCCAACTACGTCAAGGAATTACCAGCAAAGTCTCCTTTCACTTAATCGGAGAGATTTTTCTTTCTCTTAGACCATTACGTCGGCGAGCTCTCGATAAAAATAATCTGACCGTTCTGGAAAATATTGCGTACGAACAAGCGAATGAAACAATATCAGCAATTATTAGTAATCGCGCGCGTAAAACATAAAAATACACGCCCCTTTATACACAATAACAACGAGTAAAAAAAGGATCAAGTATCAATCATAGGTACAACGCACAATCAATTCTTTATCCGTCAAAAGTTGTATCGCACGAAGATCCCGTTCTTGAAGGAGGCAATAATAGAGGGGCAACTCTAATTAACTTTTGTATCTCTTAAAAGATCACAGTATCTAACAAATACCATCGAGTCTTGAATTATTCTCCTATAGCCGCGTCTTTTTTTTTTTCTTTGCGGACTTGGCAAAAGCTGCAGTCGCGACAAAAGAATTGATAAAAAAGAAAATTGAAAGAAAGAAACGGTTAGAGAGCGAAAAAGAAATAAAAGGGAAAAGAACGTTGGCTGAATTAAAAATGGCCGGAAGAAAGACACCGTTAAATGCGCAGCAACAACGGCACCAAAGCTTCGGAAATAGTAGAAAAAAATCCCCGTCCGACATCCTTCTTTTTTTTTTTTAATGCGCGGTGTTAGCGGGACGGGGAATACCCTACCCCTGTTTTGATTTTGTTTTTTTGCCCTCCACCCTTTCGCGTGCTATCTCCGAACGAGAATCCTGCATAATTTAGACGAGACTGGATTAGAGGAGACCGTCAAGAGAGGAAGAGACAAAGACTGCGAGGAAACAGGGAAAGGGTGAAGCAGTAAAATCGAAATGGAAAGGATGGGGGTGAGAAGCAAGATGGGGTACAAACGACTCGAAAAACGACAGCGAAAAAGGGCGCCAAAAAGGGTTGAAGATCGCTTTACATAGCAGTGTTCTTTCGTCGAGTTTCATCTCGGAATAAAAAAAAAGGAAGAAAACAAATAGACGGAAGCGCGAAAAAAAAACGTCGAGGGAGAGAGAGAGAGAGAGAGAGGAGAAAAAGCGCATTCGCGTGAAAGAGAATAAATAAGAGAAAAGAGTGAATAACGGTTACGTAGTAGTAATTTTGCTCGTTTAAAATCGATAGTGATAATTAGGTAGCGTTTTTCTTCAGTTAATCAGTTAGCGATTCATTTAGGACGCAATCGAGGAGACAATTAGCGGAAGAAACCGATACGAAGGTATGACTCTTTTAAATGAAAGGAAAAAGAAAAGGAAAATATATTTAAAACTTATACTACTTATATCCAAAGTTTGCACACTTGCATTCGAAATGCTCCGCTTCACTTTCCCATTTCTAAACACCGCGCTCCTATTACTTAAAAAAAAAAAAAGGATCGTAAAGAATTCTCAATCACAGAGGACTCGTTTGTTTTTCCAAGACAGAAATTAGGGTGTGCCTTCTATCTTCGTACGGTACGAAAAGGACCGGATTTGAATGTGAATAGAAGCGGCAGACATCTCGAGGACGCTCTTTATCGGTCGTAGAACCTGTAGCACGCGGAAGAGTTATCCCGAGGCATCGTTTATCGTCCCTCTCTCTCTCTCTTCTCTTTTTCTTCCTTCCGTTGAAGGCTCACCCGGTTTTTGTCTATGGTTATGGGTGCGCTCGCGCGGGACCCACGCCATGGGACCATCGCGAAGGCCCCGGGAAAAAACAAGGAAGTACGACAACAGGGGGACGATTTAAATAATCCGCGGCATGCTAATGTCTCCGGCATTCTCACGGGACACCGTCCGTGAAAGTTTGCGGGGAGGAAAGGGGCGATAGATGGGAGAAGAAAAAAGGAACGAGCCTACAAGACAATCGGCCAATCTGCATACGGCGCATACGGGCGAGGAAAAGAGCTTTCGCATCTCTCGAGGGGATGATCGTGTTATCTCGTTGAACGACTCGTGGACCGACGACGAATCGTCAAACCGTTGTGAGTTTTAATCAAAGTCTCGAAATACATTTTAGGGTTTATAATACACGTAAGTTGTTAACACAATGATAACTTACTAAGTATTACGAGGCCATGCGAAACGAGCAATAAAAAATTATTTTATTAAAAAAAAAAAAAACAATTACAATACAAACTCTAATATTCTTAATTACAAACGTTTCGAACTATACTTAGTCTTCTTCAGTGCGCAATAAAACAATTATAATAAAAATTCTAATAAAAAGTCGCAATACAATAGTCAAAAAAAAGCGAAATACGTTAACAATAAATTGAAATAATTAAAAATAGTTCAACGCGAAAAGTCCCAATTAGAAGCAAAAATCGAATTAAAATAATTTATCCGTTGTTGACATTTTTAATATAAGTTTTTAATATATAAGTGATCATTTTAACGATGTTTCCGGTTTCTTATAACGAATTCGATTGGATGCACTAATACGCACTACGAGTGCATATAAAAAGGTTTATCGCACATAAGTTCACAATGATACAAGTAATTAAAATAGGAAAATAATTAATAGTAAGAACTATTATTATTGTTGTTCAATATGAATAATAATATAATAATAATAGCTCTTTTCAATTACTTACATCATTGTAAAATTGTGCGCAATAATCTTTATGTGCACTCACAATCAGTGCGCGCTGGTGCATCCAACCAAATTCGCTATTAGTATTGAAAAAAATAACATGTACAAAACAGTAACATATGTAATATGTGTAAACCCACGGAGCTAACATTCCTGTATATATAACTACGTCGTGTATGTGAAATCGGTAACGCGGTAGTTTTCGGAGTAGTTGTAATCTGTCGCCGGTTTCGCCCAGCGGGTGGTCAACCCCTTTTCCGGGTTTTTTTTACGCCTGCCCGACCATAATCCCTTAAAACGCTTAGAGGCGTTCTTTAGGGTAATTTCTCTCGGCATCGAAGAAGGGGTGCGCGTCGTTTTATCCGACGAGATGCAAAACACCTTCTCTCCGTATCTTCGGTATACTAACGCGGCACCCGAAATCTTTCTTCGTGCGAGAGGAGTCCTTGGCCTCGCGCGAAACACCACCCCTGACGAAGATTATGCAAAGGAAGACTCATCCATTCTTTTCTCTTCTTTTTTTTTATCCTCCGTAACTATCCCCCTCCCCTCGTTCGCTCTTTCCTTCTTCGTCTCGCGCGTCATTTTCGTCCCCTCGACACGGTGTAGCTGTACGAAAATTAAAATAATGGTTCACGCAACCCCTGCAGCACTTTTTTACTTACTTGGATCGGCTTTTTCTCCGCGAGGCTGCGACAGCCGGCATGCAAATCGCGCAACGGGATTTTTGTCTCTGTTCGGCGAGAGACAAAAAAAATTGGGGAGAAGAAAGGTATTGTCTCGGTACCGGGATCGTTCGTTAAGGGACCGAAATCAGATTTTTTTTTCATCTACGCGTACAGCCTTTGGGTGACGAAGCCGTCTTCTGGGATTGGCTAATGAATTCGTAGGGCAACGTGCCGTTATAATAAAAAAAAAAAAAACGTGGCGAGACCAACGTACGTTTCGCATTAAATAAAACGAAACGGTGAAATGATAATTTTGAATGAAGAAATTTATATCGCGTCATTGTATAACAAAAAAGAGCATCCTGATACCATTTTTTGCGCCTGCAACCGATATCTCTTTCATATGATTGGGAATATATTTTATACATATTGAAGCGTACTCTTTCTTCTTCAAATAGTTCCATAGAATTGTTCTTGCTTATGATTTTTTTGCTAGACAGCATTATTATTATTACAATTAAAATTATTATAATCTAGGTAAATGTTGAGATATTAATTTTATACATTTTTTATTATTCTAAAAATCTCATCGTATTCAATTATAATGAATAATTATTTATTATTAAGATATACATTTTTAGTTGTCTTTATTTTAATCTCATTAATATATTCTTGATTCCGTAATTCGTGATAGAAAAATGTTAAAAGGATCGTTGTACCGTATAACATTTGCGAATCTTGCACTCTCATAGATTAATCGTTTGCTTTTGTCGTATCATCATTGCATTTATATTTTTCGAGAATCACCCCCTGCGGTGCAAAAAAGATTGGTGGTCGGTTGTACGACAGAAACAATGAAAGCACATAACGTTCACGTATCGACCTAAGAACGGAGTTCTTTTTTGGTGGCGGTGTCACAACATTTGGGCCTAGGCTAGAATTATGGCCATCCTTTTCCTGTAGTTTCCAGCGTACCAACCCTCCCCTGTCGATCGTATTTGTCGTTTATCTCCCTGCTCATCCACGTGGAAACAGTTTTCTTCTGTGATTCTAAGTCCTTCGTATTGTATTCTGTCAGAGTCTGCAATGAATTTACTATTATGCGACCACTTGATTTGAAATTATATTTATAAGAATAATATCTAGATAAAAATGGTACCTCACGTATTCTTTAGAAAATTTGATATATATATGCTACGTATATATTAAATATTTTTCTTATATTTTATATCATTTAATTTTTACAAATCTTTTATTTTTTTCGTAATAATTATCAATGTAATTAATTTGGCTTACTGCAACGAATTTAATTAAAAATATATTAAAATACATACATTTATACGGAGGCAAATGTAATAGAAAAAAAATGACTCTGCAAAAATGCATATAAATTTCTTTTGAGCATTTTGAGACTCAAGGTTAACGGTAAAGGATTATTGTGAGGACGAAAGTCGCGGTTGGTTGCGTTCCTGGTCGACCGTATCTCGAGACGTGACTGAGAATTCATCGCGAGAATGTACCGTTTTCCGCGAGGGTGCACCGTTAAAGGATTGAAGCAAAAAAAAAAATTAGCACCCGTTCTATCGGGAGAAGAAAAAAAACAGCTTCGGGTGCTTCCGGCACCCGAAGACGCGAACGGCGGCTTATTCCCGGAACCGATCCGGGCGAAAAAACCGC